CTACGCCAGGTCTGTTAAACACAAGACATTCATATCAATAAAGCATGTGAGCTACAAGAACTACAAGAAAGTAAATCAAACTTAGCAAAGCAAATAACATAATACAACTTCTGAGCAGAAATTGGAAGCAATTGAGGGTCAGATCATATGAATGGAGCAGTGTGGTTGTTTTAAGGCATTGGCGTCTCAGGATCCATACTTGTTTGGGAACAATTACATAAATGTGCTATATTTCCACTCCATCATAGTAAAGATATCAATGTAGTCTAAATCCAGAATGGTATATGTGCTCAGAAATGAAGACTAGCTAACCACAAGCTATATGATTCTAATCCAAGCACTGCACATAATAGTGCACACAGTTTGCACAGTATCACAGGTGACATGGATTAACTTTTTCTTTGATTTGATACCGGAAATACATTGGGTGTGTTAGGATTGCCAATTTTTTAAAGAAAAATTGTTACATTTTCCGTGAACACATTTTTCATTCATCTTTTTACCTCATATATATCAAATTGCTACAGTAATTTTTCTACAAAAAATTCAGAAAAATGCAATCCAAACGAGGCCATTACTTCTCAGTCTGGTCTATTTACCACCCAAATCAACCCAGAATAAACTGAAGAAAGTTAAAATGCAAGCTTTGCACCTTATGTGTTCACGTATCCTTGTTCTGATAAGTAACTTTCATCAATACGATTGGACTGGCATACAGTAAGTATATACCTCATCTAAATCATCCTATGAAATCCACAATAACTAGATACAAGAAGAGCAGTATAGTAAAAAAAGGTGGAAAATGAAGTTGCAGTTATAAATCTACAAATGGACTCATTTTTGCTCCTTTATCTTACATTACAAGCAATCTCAGAGGCCATCTAAATGCATAAAATGAAGAATCTTTATGATCAGGTTTTTCTCCAAGTTGGAGGGGATAAGACAATAGCCAGGCCACATGGAAGAATGCCAAAGAGGATTGAAGGCATGAACAAAGTAAATATCATGAATAAGCTACGAAGGCATGGTTCCTGATAATTGGACTGATTTCCAAAGGAAATATTTGACACAAGCTTTGTAATCAAGAAAAAGAACTGAATCAATTCAAAAGAACACAACATTAATCAACCTACTGAAGGTTGAATTGAGATGTCATGTAAGTTTTATTGTGTCAATTAATCAGTCTGTAGAACTGCAATTTGATTTAGCAAATATTAGACGTGCGCATGTAAAGTTATTCACTGCAGATTTTTCTAGTGACATTAAGCCTTATAAATTTTCTTCATGGATAACTTAGCGCTTGGTCTTCTCTTTTCAGACACCAGAGAGAGCCCACGTGCTTTAAACGAATATTATTGCCTAAAGATGATACTCCCTTCATCCCATTGAAAGTGTCATACTTTCCATTTTGGGATGTCCCAAAATGTTTGTCATGTTGAGAAAGTCAAAGCACTTTTTAATCTCTCCTTCCAATATAGTCCGTCCCTTTAATCATATGCATGTTACCATTCAAATTCAAATTTTGAATTTGTGGGGGTAAGATTGGAAAGAGAAGTACAAACATCACAATCAAACCACTATTCTTAAAAGGTTGTATTCCCAAAACATGACAAAATAATTGGGAGTAGTTATTTTCATATTCTTTTTAAGTCCAGTCAGTATTTGTACCTCTCTCTTGCAATTTTATAATAGGTAGATGGGGGTTGCATGTGAATACGATAATGCTATAGCTGAGTTTCATGGAATGCTAGGTAAAGAGAAATTAGAATGAGCAATATTTGTTTGTGCAATGCCTATTAAGGTCTAAGAAGAACTACATCTGTATAGGAGATTAGTTTGCTAACTGACCTTCCAACAAACAAGATGCTCTCACTGAAGTCAAGCAAATCCCTAACCATGCTAACATGCCCCTGGATTGCCCTTCCAACTCTGCATGTCAAACCAATAACTTGACCTTTCCTGCTCCTAATTGCAGATATGCGGTGCAAGGTACCCACAATGCCAGCTCTATTATCATCTCCAAATTGCCCAATTGCATTTTGAGCATACTCTAGCTCTTCTATTGTCACCTGGTTAATCAAATGGCTTAAAATATATAGGGTAAAGTGCACCATGGCCTATTAATCTATTTTAAATTCTCATCTAGATCATTAAACCTTTTTTCGTGTCAATTGGCCCACTAAACTACTCAAACTGTGAAATTAACCCATTATGCTAGTTCTTCTGTTAACTCAGATGGCATAATGCTAACATGAAAGGCAAATGCCTTTGGCAAGGACAAAAGCGATATCTTGTCTAAAATTCATCTTCCCTAATCGACTAATCCTTCTTCTCATCAGATTAGCTTGACTAATTTCAGTTTAACATCATCTATGAGAATTCCGTTAGCCTTCTTGTGTACACATTCTTTCATTCTTTGAACTTTCGACAAAGCTTTCCCATTTGTCAAGAACTATGTTGCAGAATCGTCCATCTTTTCGAGCATGGCAAACCCTGCAATTAGCCCTTTCTAGTTCAATTCATCATTCTTCTTTATCCTCATCCTCATGACCCTTTGGAACGAGATGATGTCATCTTTCTTGACTTCTATATTATTATCTTATTATCTGAAGACTGTTTTGCTGCACTACCTTTGGTTCCTAGCGCTATGGGTTCATCATGGGTTGCTCTAATTGATGAGTGTTGAGCAGTGGCTCTGTGGGGAGTTGGGGTCCTCGGTGGCTGTGGTGGTTGACAATCGGGTCGTCTATAAGTTGTTTCTTGAACCTCTCTTCCTAATCTGATGACAAAAAGATTTTAATCGATAGAAGATATATCTTAATGAACTAGGGAAGGTAGGTTGAGGCAAACTGCTGTTTTAGTCCCCACTGAAAGCATCTGTCTCACAGGTGTTCTGTCTAAGTTAACTGAAAAAACTAACGGAATGGGCTGATTGCATCAGTTTGAATAGTTTAGCATGTCAATTGACACACTAACAAGTGCAATGACCGAGCTGAGAACTTGAAATAGTTTGATGGGTTACCATACACTTTACCCAGATATATAATCAGAATAATTGAATTAGACTACCGTCTAGACAGTTCATTATATTAAGTACTACCTTTCCAGATGCTCAATATGAAGTCAAATTTGTATTATCGTACCATAAACCAAGAAACCAGTAGGATATTGCAAGAGGCATGCAGATAATTCAGCAGAATTCAATAAACCAAGGAAGAATCCTATAATCTAGCGATTCACCTCAGTGTCCCTTAAAACCTGCCTCCCAAAATCACCAGCATAGCATGCTTGTGGCAACTTTCCCAGGTCCAAGATCACCTATTGGTAGAATGAAACCAGAAAGTTTAGTTGTGGGACATCATCTATAGCTAGTTATCTGAAAGCTAAGAAAATTAAGCCAGTTAGTTTTGTGTCGTCGAGATGATGCTGCCCTTGTAAGTTTGCCGCCAATGATAAACTTTGGGGTTGGAAAAGAATACTTTCCACCTCGAAAGATGGCAATTCTCAAAGAAACGACCAGAAAACATCAAACGGGCCATTATTCGAAGAGAACAAAAGATGAAATAAATAAATCTGACTTTATCACTTTGCAGAATGGCATGTGCCATTTCAAGCAAGAGGGTGGACTTCTCGTTTAGAAAATACTGGATGGAAAACATCAACGGACCTCTAAGAGCTGAGATTGCTTGGAGTCATGCATAAGGATATTACGCAAATCGCAAGGAAGAATCTGCACCCAAAAAGAAAAGGCAGAAGTCATCTCAAGAATCCATTTGCAGAAAAGAAACTACTATGTCATCACTTGGTATCAACTTTTCACCACATGGCAGAAAGGGAGACCAAGTGCAATTAGCAAAGAGACTTGATTTAAGAAAAAGAAATAAAAAAAAAAACAGTCAGGATCTTTATTTGTTTTTGGTGAGAAATGTTGTAGCAAAGTCGTCGAATAGTACTTAAGAAAAAAGGACATGTCAGCATCGCAGTGTGTAAGGGAGGAGAAAAAGATCCAACAATCAGTATCAGTTGTACAACTGAGGAAGATGCTAAGATTCAAGGATGAAATAAAAGTATAATAGAGAGAGTGATAAAATAAATGAAGGGGGGGGGGGGGGGGTTGGTTTTGAGGGGTGCAGGGGAGAAGAGAAACCTGAAACAGAGCGTGGATGTCATCGTCGTCGTCATCCCGAACAAGAACCTGGTTGAGATTCGTGGAGGCAGATGATGTAAAGGTGAAAGGCTGATATAGATGATGGTGTTGGAGTAGGGTGGTCAGGCGAGGGAAATTATTTGTAGGACTGGTATAGTGCTTTTTACCAGTAGGAGTACCCGCCGCATAACCGCCGTTGAGGAGCTTGAGTTGGAGGGGTGCAAGTGGAAGTGCGTGGGTGGTCGGATGATTCTTGTTTTTTAAGGAAGAAGCAGCTCCGACTCCAACTCCCATTCCCATTATTTCCATTTCCCTTCCCTCCGTTGTTGCCACCATTGGCTGCTATGCAGCCAGCTTCTGTAACCTCACACTGCAGCTAAGTAGTGCTTCGGTGGGATTGCCAACTACACTCCCCCGCCAAAGCCCACTCCCCCCGCCCCAACCCAGTCCTTAACGCTGAAAACCGGCCCAAATTAAAAACAAAATCCATTGATAACTGCTGTCGAAAATCTGCATTTGCCGTCTCTTTTTTTTTTTTTTTGGGAATAATTTGGCCTCCACACGGATAGATTAGAGCAGCTCCAAAGAGATGGACAAATTTGAAAATGAGTAGTTTAAATTGAGTTTTAGGCACAAATAAATTTCAAATAAGTAACAAAATTTGTTAGGATTTTACGTGTTGTTGCTTAAATTCTATTTTATTTTTTTATTTTTGTTGTTTTAATACGTTGCCTTGGGTTACGCGGATCTGAATCCGTCCAATGTGGTACTACAGCCCAGTCCAGTCCAATGTGGTACTACAGCCCAGTCCAGTCCTCAAGATGTACCCAACGTTAAGTTAAAGAGTAGGGTGGCCTGCGGATCGGATCCAACAATTTTCCCCACCATATCGGGATAAGTATACGCAGAGTCGTCGGACAGTCCAGCAGCGGTAGTTCTAGTGTGTGTGGACGTATGTATACATTGGGGAGTGCGGCAGAGTTGTAGAGAGATGAGCACCGGAGCATATGGTTTCGGGTACGGTGGGAGCGGCGGCAGAGGCAGCGGCAGAGATGATGATGAAGAAGAAGAGAAGGGCATATTGTGGAAGCTGCCAGAGGTGAAGTCAAAGCAGTTGGGTAAGATTGGCCCTGCTTTTGGTGTTGGATTTGGCTGTGGTGTCGGTTTAGCCATCGGCATCATTGGAGGTAGTATTGCCGACTCAATCGCTTGCTTCCTCTTTTTTATTCGTTTGTTCTGTATGCATTTCTGCTTTTGCTTTGCTTTTACTTCTCTATGCTTTCTCTTCTTTCTCCTGAATAAACTGTAGGTATGGGTGTCGGTCCTGGAATTCCTGGATTACAGCTGGGTTTGGGAGCCGGAGCAGGCTGCGGACTTGGCCTGGGATTTGGGTACGGAGTTGGAAGGGGTATTGCTTTTGATTACAACCGCCGATACTCCAACGTCGCCAGGTATGTATCCTTAATTTTAGCTTCGACTCTTTGTGGCGTTATCGGCATACTGCTGATCCTTGTCCCCCAAAATCATTTCATCCGCTTTTTCTTCTATTTCTCCCCAAAAACCCAAACTAAACTAGTTTTCATTTGACACGATTGTAACATGATGCAATTCATTCAATCCTTGGGGAGGAAAACAAACGGATTCTAGATTTTCGTAATTTATGAGCATGAAGACGCTGCTCCAGGGTCAACAAGTCTTTTCTTGTCTGCCTAGTGTAGCTTATATGCGAGGCTTACATTATTGGATGCTTCCTGTTTGTCAATTCTCTCAGCTTATCAATAGTTCCAGCCCTCTTTTATGATTCGTATCTACTGATTCTGCACGGAAAAATGTTTATCACGGCTTTCCAATTGATCCTTACTGGAGAATAGATGTGTATGTTATGTCTATGTCTGTCCATATAAACACATCCAGCTTGGGCTGGTTTATAATAATGTTTCTGGCCAGCAGAAACTCATTTATGCCCATAGACTTTTTTTCTTTTTTTTTTGGGTGGTACGGATATTTACCCATTTTTTGTTCATTTGAACTAATATGATTTGTATGCTAAACCACTCAAAAATTTCAGTTCATTTTTAATCTGCAGTACTTTAGTTGTGTCAAAGGATTTGTTTATCACAGTTTCTAGTTTTGTTGCACTATTAGTGAGTCTGCAAGGCCATAAACTGCAAAGCCATTTTTTTGTTGGTTTGAACAAATATGATTTGTAGGCTAAACCACCAAACCACTCAAAAATTTCAGTTCATTTTTAATCTGCATGGTACTTTAGTTGTGTCAAAGGATTTGTTTATTGCAGTTTCTAGTTTTGTTGCACTATTAACGAGTCTGCAAGGCCACAAACTGTTTGTCTGATGCGACTCCTTTTCCTTTCACCATACTTTGGTAGTGACTACATCCATTGAGGTTTGGACTGGAGTTAATGGAATTTTAGGCTGCTGAGTTAAGAGTATGCATACTGGTCTGGTTTTGGTATGTGTTAAGGTGATCATTAATGAGTTGTTGAGTAGTGCTCTGGTATTCCTTTAAGCTGTATTCCATATTTAGCACAATCCTTGTTTTTTTTTATTCCCCCACTATTATGCAGTGTGTCATTATGCAATATTCTTGCAATAAATGGCGATCACGGAAATCGTTTTTAAGACATCATGATTTGAAGACACGGTTTAGGTGTCTGTTCTGCTATAAGAAGATCTTCACATGTCTGGATTGCTTGTGGTTTGTGGTTCAAGATGAGTTACAATTGAGAGAATGCAATTGAAGGAACCTATTGCACCGTTCAATTCACTTGTTTTGACATATATTGGGACTGTATTTCTTTCAGTATCAAGGTTCCATATTCCATTTTCACCAATCCTTAATGGTTAGTCTTGTAAAGTCGGGAAGATATGAGTTCGACAGTAATCAGGTGAAATTATAGTCTTGCTTTGGGAAATCTCTGGAATAATCTTTTTCTTCCTGATAAGCTAAGAATCTATATGTTCTCCTCTTGTTCATGCTAGTTGTTCAGGTGCCTGAGCTCTAAAGTTTTTATAGAACAAATCGATCTTGTAACTCTTTCTTGTCAACTCCATAAGCCCAATTCATTTATTCAATCACTGCTTATTATGATGAAAATCGTGTTTTGTGGTTGATTGCATGTATTGGTCTTCATTGAATGTTCCAAGCACAAGCAGTCTTAATGGAAGTTCATATACATGTTGCTGGTCCCATTTATTTGAAGTTCCTTAGTGTCCCAACCATAGTTATTAAACCTGGCCTGGCAGTTGAACCGTTCAGCATGGTGAATTGGCCGTAACTAGGCCGGGCCGGGTTCAGTCTGACCAGTTAAGAAGTGACCTGGTCAAACTCGTTTGACCCGCTGGTTCAATCACGAACCTGGCTGGGTTTTGGGTGACATGGTGGGTCATTGGTTTTGGGCCCAAATTTATGATTTTGCCAAGGTTTGAACCTTGTCCTCAACCTAAATGTGAAGAGACTTTACCACTAGGTTAAACTTTCACTTGTTGATCAAATGTCCCTTAACTATATTTGTTTTTTTTTTATTATACAATTTATCCCCTCAACTTTCAAGCTAGAAATGTTATCAATATGTAACAATAGTTGTGTATTTAAGAATTGTTTCATTAGGCGAAAACAGATTTTACAAAGAATTAATGCTGCTACTTGTTTTGTTGCTAAATCAAATAGTTTTGTTTTATTTTTTTACTACATGACCTATATATCTAAAGTATGCAAAATGCAATTGAGTCTTCTATTAATATTTATTTGTTCAAAATAAATCTTTCTAAATAAAATATTGATATATAAAAGCACTTTATTTATAGATTTTACATTTGCTAAGATAATTAATATATTATTCGTGTTTATGAAATATTATTTTGTGGCCCACTGGTTCAACCACCTACCCACAAGTTGAACCAGTGACTCATCCACCCGGTCCTTTCCCCGGGTTCCTTGCCAGGCCGGGTTCAATGACTGGTCTCAAATCTCTTGATTTGTGACCAATTGATCGAAGAGTTTGACCTACATAATCAGAGTTGGAGCTTTCTCTTGTTTGACGTAGCTTTTGAACTACCAAATAGCAATGTGGGTACTGGAAATCTGTCTGGAAATTGGAATGAACTTTGCAAATCCCAAAACTTTAACTGGAGAAAAATGATTATAAAAAGCAGTTTGACTTTTCTTTCAAAAACAATATCCTTAAGCTTTCGGGTTTTCTTTTAAAAGTAAAAGAAAAACCAAGGGAAAAGGTGAAAGTGGATGGTACCCCATAATTGATATTTGTGAAGTCAAATAGTATGTTCCAAGGATTAATCTTTTATAAATGTCAGTGTAAGGTTATTTTTACACTAGCAGGTTTAGACGAATGCCATACAATCTTTATTCAAATTTGAAATTTGAGTTTTTGTGTGAATGAAATTTTGATGCTCAGAAAGTTATAAAACTGCAGCTGATTACCTTGAAATAAGTTCTTATCTATGGCCTCTTGATGTCAGGGATGAAATTGGTGCTCTGATCAATGAGCTTGTAATAAACACCAAAAAGCTAGTCAAAGCTACTTCCACAGAGGTGGATAAATGGAGACGACAATAAGTTTGCACAAACTCGCTGCTCTTGGTTCTTGGTTTTAGACTTTGCTCTTTTGTGAATGATCTGAACGTGTGGAGGAGATTGGGTTGTAAATCATTTGCTGGTAGCATGTGAAACTCAAAAATGGAAGAATAGGTATACAAGGGAATAGGTTGCAAAAAGAGTCTCTATACAGTCTTTGACCTCAACAATTATGCTGAAAGCCTCATAGTGCAATAAAGAAAGCCTCAAGTGAGAGATTGGGAGCAACCTTTCTATGTTAATATAATAATTGTAGTGATTATTATTATATTGAAGTAGCTTTCTTGTAAATATTGAATCAGTAGCTTGACATGCTACTGCAATGTCCTAGTGAGACTTGAATTGAGATTCTTTCTTTCAAGGGTTCTGCAGGTTCAGTTTTTCCTTCTGTGTTTCTGCTTTGAATATGGTATGGTTGTTACAACAGAAAATGTAGTTAGTGTGTGTGTGTGTGTGTTTTTTTTTTTTTTTTGTTGGTTACGATAACATTTTTATAACCTATACAGATCCGATTAAATCAAATGGGTGTTTTGACACCTCATTTGAAGTGGAGTTTGAACCCTTGATCTATAGTCAAAGAGGCCTTAATTCCTTTTTGGTTGCCACTGAACTAAAACTCAGTTGTTCCTGGTGCTTCAGTTTACCCAGAGTAGATCTTAGCAAATAATACTCTAACAAGCCCATGCGATTGCTAAGTTTTAGTGCTGCGAAGAAAATTTTGAGAAATATAGGCGCTGGAGTGCACTCTAGCTCTGGCGGACAAATTGGAAATTGAATTCTGGAAAGTAACGAGAAGCAACACCATTTTCTGATGATTAAGTGGTAGAGTTTGACTGTAACCGGACTAAACAAACACCTAGTAGCATCACAACCATTGTAATTTTAAAAGTTACAATACATATATAAAACTCTATACATTGTAATTATTATGAAAATTACAAGACAATCTATGAATTTTTTTAGTCGTTGTTCACTTGGGATTTAAAAGATTCGTAATTTTCACTTAATAAATAAGGATAATGAGATAGAATCACGATTTGGCTTGTAACTTTAAAAATTTTAGATTAACGATAGTTACTGTGTTTGCAACATTTTTATCAACCTTCTTTTTTGGTCCAATCTATGCAAAGGTAACTCTTCAACAGCAGAATGGAATGGAGAGAGCCAATTAAAACAGAAACTAGTATTGGAAAAGAAAAGGAAAAGGAGTGAAATAAAATAAAATGAAGGGATGGTAATTGGATAACGGACGTTATCCAAGGTAAGGCATCCTCAATGCGGTTGAGCATGACTGCTCCACATCAGCAGCATGATCAGCCACGTGGCCAAGTTCAGCCTATCCAAATGTTGTATCAGATTGCAGCATCTTTCCCTTCTCACGCAGACCAATCAGAGATCACAAGCAACGGCAATCCCAGTTGGCAAGCCCACATCCACCAGAATAAGCTTTTAGTTGGGAGTATCCGTGCATCAACTTCTCCCTCCCATAGTCCCCATTTCTCGTCATCATATCAGTATCTGGACGGGGTATCAAATCTCAGGGCACGGTCAAATGGCTTCTCTTGCAGCCTCCACTGCTGCTGCCTCTCTGGGCGTCTCTGAAATGCTCGGAAACCCTCTGAACTTCACCAGCTCTTCAAGGTGCGCTCCTTCTCCTTCTAACACCGCCAGTTTCAAGACTGTTGCCCTTTTCTCGAAGAAGAAAGCTGCTGCAAAGCCCAAGCCTGCGGCCGACTCTTCATTGGACGACGAGCTCGCCAAGTGGTATGGTGAGTTGTCAAATTCACTTTATTAGTTCCCTCCTTCAGTTAGTTGGTTATATTCACTGATCTGATCATAAATCATGGAAATTGGAATCCATAACTCGCTAGCAACTAGTAATTTGCACCATCAAAGTGTCAATCTTTTGCTTGTAAATACTAATGCACGCACGGTTGCCTGAATTAACACTTCCTTTGATGCTCAAATATTTCAGGACCTGACAGAAGAATTTTCCTGCCCGAGGGGCTCTTAGACAGATCAGAAATCCCCGAGTACTTGACAGGAGAAGTTCCTGGAGAGTGAGTTGTTTTTTGCGTATGCTGCCTCGCATTTTACTAACCCTGAATCTGTGTCTATACATGTCCCCTTTTCTGAGAATTTGCAACGGCAGTCACGGTTCTGACAATATCTGATTTGGTCAATATGCAGTTACGGATATGATCCTTTTGGCCTCAGCAAGAAGCCAGAAAACTTTGCCAAGTAAGTAAAGTAACCCTCGATAGCACTCTCAAGTATGTGCTTGCACTCGTACGCACATCCATCACTTTGGAATTTCCTTTTTGCGGGTGTACATGTTGACTCAGGAGGATACCATATTGTCAAACTACTACTTTAACGAACACTATTCATTCGGGGGCCATTTTGGGATTCTTGTAATGCAGATATCAAGCATATGAGCTTATTCACGGCCGCTGGGCCATGCTTGGTGCTGCTGGCTTTGTTATCCCTGAAGCCTTAAACAAATTTGGGGCCAATTGCGGCCCTGAAGCTGTTTGGTTCAAGGTACGCAAGTAGTAGTAGTTACTTCATTTCCTTGCTGCAAGCCTTCCAGATCGTATGACAGCATTGCACCTCGTTTTATCTTTTTCCTTATCGCGTTAATAGTTAACACGCAACTTGTGCAGACTGGGGCTCTACTCCTCGACGGCAACACATTGAATTACTTTGGAAAGAACATTCCCATTAATCTTGCATTTGCTGTCATTTTTGAGGTTGTTCTTGTCGGTGGTGCTGAGTACTACAGAATAACCAATGCACTGGTATGCTCGCTGAGTTTGATAACGCTCAGATTTTGAGTTGTTAATACTACAACTGTTTCTTATCCATACACCATCACTATGAGAACTTGGAGATTGACTTGTGCGAGTGTGTTACATACAGGATCTAGAGGACAAGCTTCACCCAGGGGGTCCTTTCGATCCATTGGGACTTGCCAAGGACCCTGACCAGTTTGCCCTCCTAAAGGTGAAAGAGATCAAGAACGGTAGACTGGCCATGTTTGCAATGCTTGGTTTCTTCATCCAAGCTTATGTCACTGGACAGGGTCCCGTTGAAAACCTTGCAGCTCATTTAAGCGATCCCTTCGGTAATAATTTGCTCACTGTCATAGCCGGAACTGCTGAAAGAGCTCCGACCCTGTAATTCCTTCTTTTGATTTGTCGTTCTAATCGTCCGCGAACAGAAAATCTATGAAATGTACAATTTGATGGGACATTACAAGGCAGTCAGCCATTTTCGAACCCTGTAATTGGAAACCATTTTTCAGTTTATACGGCGTGCAATCCTTGCTCCTTGGTCTACGACAATGCTTATGGGATGCTTACCTTAAAATGCTCTCTGGCTAAAAACGATCAGTTTTTTCTGTAATACCAAACAGTTTCTTGTTTATTGTGTATTTTACAGTTATAAAAAACTCTAAAGATGGAAGATCATGATAATTAAACTAAGCTATTGGTATAATATTGACTAAGAAACCTATAATAAGCAAAAACAAACAAATTTTTATCAATTTCAATAGTTGTAAACTTTTTTTGTTATATTTTTTTAATTATTGATAATTTTTTTGGAGTTTTATTAATTGATATGACATTATATAATGAATTTAATAAGTAATATAACCTTTTGTTTTCTCATTAACTGTTTATAACCTTTTGTCTTCTTATTAATCATGATTTTCTTCTAAACCAATATATATATATATATATAATATAGTTAAGTTTAATTATCATGCATAACAATATAATAATTGGAGATAATTTTAACACATAAAATAATGAATTGGAGATGAGGGAAATGATTGGTGAATATTAGTTATAAATGGACAGTTTTTAATATTAAATACCAAAATTTTTTAGATGTAATTCATTATAACTTTTCATTTTTCTTATTAGTGTCATGATTAAAATGCAATAACTCTAATTAAAAGGCATGCAATAACTCTAGTTAAAAGAGATGAGGGTAATTTTGGCATAACAAAAACTAAGATTAAAATATGCTTACACTCTTATACTTCCTATTGCCAAGACTAGGAGTGTAATCAAGTCAAGTTGTGCTCGAGTAGTGCAGTATTGGACCTTAACTCGAGTTAAAAAACTTGGATTCGATCTCGAGTTCGAACTTATCGAACTCTTGTAAGTCGAACTCAAGTTCGAACTCAATTTTATTTTGCAATACTTTAGTTTGAGTTCGAACTCTTGCTCATTGAGGCTAATTGAACTTATTTCGAATTTAATTGATCGAGTTTATATTTTATATAATTTTAAATAAGGGACAACATGGACATTTCATACTAATAAATATAAAATTAGTAATTAATATATATATGTATGTGTGTGTGTATGTGTGCGCGCTCGCTCTTTCGAACTTTACATATATAAACTCGACCTTGACTAGTCAACTAGTTCGACCTACTTGAATTCGAGTTTGCAAGTTCCAGATTGAGTTTTGACCAAGTAAAAACTTGTGAGCTATATATACGCGTGTATGTGCGCGTGCATACGCATGCTTTCCAACTTTACATATGAAGTTTGATATTGACTCGTCAACTAGTTCAACCAGGTTCAACTCGAGTTTATGAGTTCGAGATTGAGTCTTGATCGAATAAACTCGTGAGTTACTCAATTAAACTTTACTTGTTTGCACCCTAACCAAGACTCATTGTACTTTTTGATCATGATAACGATATATCATAAGTATCAATATAATATCCACAGTTTGCCGTATGACTCATGTTGTATGCACGAAATCAATTCCAATTTTGAAAAAGTAATGCGAATTATATTTTAAATTAATCTTTTCCAATTTTGACAGTATAAAGTCTTAGATGAATAATAATTATGTAAATTTAAAATTTAATTTATATATATATCATGAATATAGTGTATACACTGTCCGTATATATAAGATTTATTTTTATATTTTTTTGGATAAACATCGAAGCTGATCCGCAAAGTCAGCCGGATGACTCACGTTGTATGCACGAATCTAAGTCCAAATTTGAAACGTCAGGAATTATATTTTTGTGGGTAAACATCTAGAGAGAAGCCGTTCTAGAGTTGAAACTTGAAACGTTACCCATTTAGTCAGTAAACTTCTTCAGGTAGTAATAATCCATAGACAGTTTCTTACCAAAAAAAAAAAAATCCATAGACAGTTTATGCTCTATATTTTGAGAGGATGGCAACATGCAATAAGAGAAAGACTAATCAATGGAGTTGGACTTATGACAACTGATAATCCATAGACAGTTCTTAGAGGTTTTAGAATTCAAATCCTATGTGTGTCGCAGTTGGCGGTGAAAAGGACAGCCGGAAAGATGGGAGGATAAAAAAGAATAATAATAATAAAAAGAGGAGAAAGACAAACATAAACCCGTATTACTCAATAATCCTCTATGAGTGAGATCTAGTAATTTTTATTCTAAGTACCTCGAATGTCGTGTCTGGAACAAATTGAGGAGGGTGCTTGCACGAAGTGGAAACCAGACAGCTTAGGATTGGGTATGGGGTCTACACTGCGGGGTTCCTGCTCTGGACTTGTAAATGCTACAGTAGTATCACCTAACCAACTTTGCATATATAGCATTAAAAAGAAGCCATCATCAGAAAAGTCATACTATAAGAGAGAAAGAGGGAGAGAGAAAAATGGATGCAGTCAGAGAAGAAGAAGAGCACGAGGTTGTGATAGTTGGCGGGGGTATTGGCGGACTTGCAACGGCCCTTGCTCTTCACAGGTCCTTCTTCTCTTTCATTCGCTGTTGGTTTTGTGTATATGAATTAGTTGCAGAGGCAAGAATTGTAGTGCGTGATAAGTATTGGCTGATTAATTAACCAATCATTTGCAGGAAAGGACTCAGAAGTGTAGTTTATGAAAGATCAGAGAGTCTGCGAGCAGAGGGTTCAGCTATAGGCGTCTTCCGTAATGGGTGGCGGGCACTTGATCAGCTTGGTGTTGGAGATGTGCTCAGAGACAAGGCTATTCTTGTTCAAGGGTGCTTATCCTATTATCTATCCGTCTTTCTATTCCCAAGCTCTGTCTATCTATCTAAGTTTTTTTTTTTTGGGAGTAATTTGCTTCTATATACCGCTTGTTGAATGGTAGTTTCATTTAATTCTCTGTTATGCTATGCTGCTACATAGGAAAAATTCAGGATAAAAGCTTATAGCCCGTCCCCAACTCTCTCTCTTTCCTTACAAGTAGCGAGTATGATTGCAAATCAAAGGAACTTGAGTGATAATCACATTAAGGAACTTAGTGTGCATTATTTGAGTTTATATCACATAGTTTATTTATGGAATCAAGTTTTAACTAGAAAATTCGGTGCCATTTAATTGATTCAAAATTTCAAATTTTGACATGTTAAGACCTGAATTTAAATGCTGAATTGGAGTATCAAATAGGGTCTTATGTAGCAAAAGCAAATTTGCACCATCACTCAAAATTCAGCATCTTCGGTTCCACTCTGAGTCATCTGTACATGGTCAAGTTCTCAAAGAAATTGAACCTTAATCGCAATTTGGAAGAAGGTTCAGAAAACACAGGAGAACTTGAATAATTTTTTATAGAGCTTGCAGATAGTTGCTTTTTCTTTGTTCTTTTTTTTTCTTGATCTTTCATGGCTATTTGCAACTTTGATGGGTTCTGGGTTCTAAAAAATAATCATTTGCTTTTAATTGTTTGACGTGTGTACTGATCAATAAAAACTTATACACAAACAAATTTTTTTTTTTTTTTTTTTAAAAGGTTCCATAGGTAGGCAAGTTCTGTCTTTTACATCTCTGCTTCTGTATTTCTTGGCAAACCAGAGAATATATGCAACTTGATCCCAAAATTGATTACCTGATTTATTTGCCGACATGTACATACAGAGGACAGGACATATGGGTTGACGAAGGAAACCAGCAACAGCCAATACCATTTCCGTAAGTCAATCTTTCTTCTCTAAACTTCAATGCCAAATACATACCATGCCATGTACAGGATTTTCTACTTGATTGTACCTACGTAAACATGTGCATGTATGAGCTAAACTGTTTCTGTAGGGGTGGTGAAGCTCGTTGCTTGAAAAGGAGTGATCTCATCAAGGCTCTTGCTGATGCTTTACCGCCTGAAACTGTACGATTTGGATACAAGGTTGTTGCTGTAACAATGGACCCTAAAAATATGTTTCCAACTCTCACACTCAATAATGGCAGCTCTATTAGAGCCAAGGTATCTTTTATTACCTGAATTTGGTATCATCCTAGTTAAAAGTTATTAGTAGTATCATCTTCCTTGAATAGAACATTTTGGGAAGTACTAGCATTAATTGGAATTGAATGTTTGGCTTCCAAAAATGTTTAAGAATTAGGCGTTCACATTTTAATGCGAATTAGAGGAAGAAGCTTGACTATAGCAGTGTTTCGCACCAAAGCTGCATCTAGGGGGATGAGTCAGTTACAAGTTGTTTATGCTCATTATGTCTTCGCAGGTTCTTATTGGATGTGATGGATCAAATTCCGTAGTGGCGGATTTCCTTGGCATAAAGCCTACAAGGTTATTTGCTCTTTGTGCAGTTAGAGGCTTAACGAGTTATCCAAACGGTCATGTGTTTTCTCCTGAGCTTGTGCGGATCAAGAGAGACAGAGTTATGGTGGGACGAATTCCTGTTGACAATAATTTGGTCTATTGGTTTGTTACTGTACCATTGTCTTGGTTAGGTAATTTTTTTGTTCTTTGAGTAACAAGTTAGGTAATAAAATGCTCCTTGATTCCCTTTTTTTCTCTCTCTCATTTCTTGGTTTTCCTAAAATATTTTGACAAAGCAAAGGGGCACTTCAGGAACCTCAACTGGATCTCTGACCTGAATCGGCTTTCATGCCATATTCGATGGAGTTAGTGTTCCATTGGTTAAGGAACAGTATTGCTATCATAAGCACATGAAGGATTAATTAGTCTTGCTCTCACCATCATCGTGTGCTTTAGTGCTACCGTATGATGAACATCACGCTGTTGGCATAGAATTTAAGGTCGAAGTGGTTGTCTATTTCTTGATGGTCTTCAAATTTTGCTGCAGATAGAAAATTTCCAGATGACCCAGAACTCATTAGAAAGTTAACCACGAAAATAACAGAAGGCTTTCCATCTGATGCCGTAGAGATGATAGAAGGAAGTGATCTAGACTCATTGTCCATCACACACTTGAGATACCATGCCCCGTGGGAGATGCTGGTGGGAAGGTTTCGAAGAGGACCCATTACAGTAGCTGGAGACGCAATGCATGCCATGGGACCATTCCTAGGACAGGGTGGTTCCGCAGCCT